GTCACTGAGGCTGATCAACCCCTTTTTGAGATGCGGCATACAGTCTAGTTCCCTTTTTCTAACTTCCATTGAGAAACATAGCGGCTAATTGAATGTGATACCAGCAAGAGAAGGCCTGGATGGTATATATGGGACCACACCGCACTCTTGGTAAGCTTGCCATTTGCCACTACACCACCCACTCCTCCGGCTATAGGTATTACAGCGAACTCTACTACACCACTTCCACCAATAGGTCCGTTCGCTTCCTGCGCAATTTCGAGGTGTGAAACGGAACTCCTGTACTTGCTCACCCAGGTTATCCACTTAAAGAAATGATAGTATTTCTTTGCTAGTCGCGAAATCGATCTTAGAATGTTGTTACTCTATGAAAAAAGATTTTTCATTGGTAGGACGAGTGTAGATTCACATTCCTAACAGTCTCATAATATTCAGAAGAGTAGAAGCCTACAGATGTGAGGCACTACGGTATTGAAACAAACGCGGAAATCAAATGCCCTTTGCCAGTTATAGAAAAGATTTTCATGAAGGAAATCCAGGCTGATCCTCTGTAAAAAGGTTATTTGGAAGAAGTCTCATATGTTCTACTACTCGTACGCCTACAAGAAAGAGGGTATCCTTTCAAATCTATTGAGTCGAGAAAGAAACATCCGCGAAACGGTTTCTTCTTCGATCGCCTATACCTCAGCGTTCCAGCACCGATGATACTTCTCGTGTTGACGTATAACCGACATCGAATGAGGGGTTCTCCGGAAAGGTGACCAGCGGGAAGGAAAGGGGGAGGAAAGTGGATTTCACCGTGCAAACGAATGAAAAACTGAAAATTCTTGACACAAATTCCGAATCTTAACCTTCATAGCGACTCTTCGCAGAACAGACGATGGTATCATTTCAGTTCTGTGATGTTGTGGCTCAGGACCTTTGTATCGCACCATATACATAAGTTCATCACCATCCTTATTCACTCCAAGAAGCGATTCAATTTTTCGCCCGCGCTCAATCTGGTACTTCTTCGTTGGTCCTGTTAAACATTATTTTTATTTCTTATCAAAAAAAAGAACAAAGCTTGGGTAAGATCTCAAAACAGTGTAATACTCACCATGCTTCACGATGGGAACCTTTATATGTCCAACAGTGCGAGCCGATTTGTTTTCATCACTTGATTTCTGAAACAAAAGACATGAAATCAGCATGAGCACCTTTAGAGCTGCGAACAATGACCTCATCTTATATGGTTCTATGATTTCAAGTTAGGAAACGTTTTCTACGCAGCTGAATCCATGTCCCAAAATTGCTAGTAGTTTTATTTGTTGTTAGTCTGATTTCTGTAGACTAACAATTCTTATAAACGTCCAACTACAAGTGGTTAATTGATTCCGAAGAAACGAAATCTTAGACGGAAGGCAGAAACCAATAAGAACATCAAGATGTAAAAACGAGCGTTTTGTTGCCCTGTCTGTGGCCCCTCGGAAATAAATAGGTCTGATACCCCGAAAAATAAGATACAAGCTTGAAGACATGACCGGCTCACCTC